TTCTTGTTTTGGACAGAACTTTTTCGTAAACATCACAAGATGGATAGGTAACCTTTCGACAAAATGATCACGTGGATGCACCTCCATAGCATCTGGCACCACCACTTTCACTGTACCGCCACCGAAATAGCTTTTTTTTAAAAGATGTGTTCGATCAGTTCGGACAAGTAGTGCGCCGATACCAGACGGATAACCGAACATCTGCAACAACTTAGCGCGGTCACACATCTTCCTTTAACGGGGAACGTATCGTATGCTGTGGAGCCGTGCACCTTCCTTGCTGGAAAGTGTATGGTCTTCGTATTTTCTCCCGAAAAATCAGTAATAATTTAATACAGTTACTTATGCTACATTGTCAATAAAAAGTTGCTACCACAAGAAAGTTAGCTGGCGTGTCAAAAGAATGAATCTACAACTTGCAAATGCCCTTCCAAAAGCGAACCCAGTTGTTGCCAAGCCAACTGCCAGAGTGAAAATGCGTTTTTTGCATTATTTTCAGCCGAATTGCTGTTGCTAATATGTTCATCTATAAGGTACTTTTTGCTAAACAAATAGATAATTGCGAATTAGTCATGCGTGCCAGAGGGAATCTCAACGCGGCCAGTAATCTGTCTGCACCCGTTTAAGTTATCCTTTTACGATCAAAAAACTGGTTCAGGCAGTGTTTTTCATCACGTTTTTCTGTTTGGATTTTGATGCTCAGTTTTCGACAAAAGCCAATAAGGGTGGGAAATAGAAAAATGTATATGAGTTCATGAAGACTTACTTTACTTGGTTAAATAATACTACAGACTACGCTTTTCAAAAGCAAAGCACGCAGAGATTTGTACTACTACTGTGGAACTAACCATATTCAAAACATCAGTTTATCGGATTTCAATGAATCATAATAGAATCCGTCCAATAAGGCGGGTAGTGCAAAATAAGCTGGGCCTACTATACCTAAATTCGGCAAGAAACTGTGTTTTAGTAACATCATGTATGCAAGCTACAATTTGAATGGAAAATTCATTAAAAAAAGGTAAAATATCAACTTTATAAAAGGAAATAGTGACAAAGTCTGGTCGATGAAGTGATAAGTCAAGATAAGACGTTGATACCCATGAAGCAGCATCCAGACAAACAAAGCTTCGGCCTGAAAACAAATCTTCTATACTTAGGCAGCTCACTTTCAAGATAGTTACTAAGTAAGAAGATCGCATTCCGTTTCAGTTCAGCCATCAATCGAGTGGCTTATTCTTAGTTTGTTGGTATCAAGACCGTCTGATCAATCAGTAAAGGATTCCCATGCTACTGTTGTAACTGGGATACTCCAAATGCGGGGCGCAAATAATGCCAAAACCTGCAGTTACGCTCTGCACACATTAGATA